CCGGTAGTACGCTGTATGAGAAGGGGAGATATTCTCCATGAGCTTACTCTTTTCGAGGCCTCGAAGTTCGGAAAAGCGTGAACGGACTTCCCGTTGAAGACGATTGGCCATACGCCTATAGTCAGGGGTGGGATGGAGTGATGCTCTCCGGAGAGCAGCTCTCTTGGCTTTCATTAGGTTGCTAATATGTGGGGGAAGACAATTATTATTAGCAACCGGGACGACCCTTTCATTCCCCTTAAGGGAGGATTTTATGATGGTGTAAGAATCGACCGCGCAGTTGATTTTTTCGGTACTGTCGAAGAAGTCCGAAGAAAGGGTGATGGGGGAGTCCGGAGAGCCCATAGCTGTGGCTAAGGACTCAATGAAGCCCTTACAATTGGTGAAGGTTTTCGTGGAGGCAGATGAGGTAGGTGGCTGATGGCCAAGTATAAGAGAGACAGGACGATGGTCGGATCCTAGATCGTCAAGAGTTTCGATTGCTCTGAGTCTAATTTTTATATGACCAATCACGTGTTAGTGAATTATAAGATTCTTATTCGTTGTTATAATCTTAAGACTGTAAATATTTTAAAGTAGACATTTTTATTGGTTAAGAACCATGTACCTACACTTTGTGAAATTTTAGTATATATAAGGAATCAAACTTTATTAATAAATTATTCGTTCCTGCTTATTCTTTTAAGGGGGGTCGCTTCCGATACGGCAGAACGGCCCTCCAGGCCAAAGCCAGTCCCACAGGTGGTGTTTAGTGGTTAGGCACTTCATAGTGAGTCTCACAACTACGCAGCCGGCTGCGTGGTATGCTACGAGCATTCACCACCTCTCTCTCTCTCGCTTCCCGGAAGGTGGCCCCTTGCTTTGAGCGCAAAAAAGGGGAGGCGTCCCATAAAGTCACGGTGTTTTATTTATTAAATAAAAAAAGAAGGCGTCACACTTCAGAGCGCTCACGTCGGACAGAGCTGCATTCCTGCTGCGCGTGTTAACAGCTTCGTAAAACATCTTAAAGAACAATATCATGCTCCATGCTGATAATATAATAGCTCTTTTCAGAGCTGACTTTTTCTATGTTTCACGAGATGTCTTTTATTTGTTATGGAATATAACAGCTGTGTGACAGCGGCCTAGAATACTGCCACTCTCTCTCATCCCGTGGATGTCGTACGAATCAACTGAGAGGAATGTCAGAAAAAAGGAGACCTTCGGGCTTCCGACGGATGGTGAAATAACCATCCCAGTCTTCGTCAGATAAAAAATGCCCAGATCTGTGATAGGCAACGGCGTTACAGGTGCGATGTGTCCGGCGCTGCAATCGCCTACCTAGCGTAGCGATTAAGGCAAATCCTCCCATGTGCAGTACCACAAAAATACCGCCCCCAGTTCCCGGTTGCCCCATTATTCCTGGTCGTGGTGGCGGACAAGGTAACGATGGAGCAGGGGGTGCAAATAATCCCCGGGAGAGTTCTCTCTGTTCGGATTACCACCAAAAACTGGACATGGCAACGTATAATGAACGAACTCTGCGGCAAGACGGAAATATTCACGAACTCTAAGCTGAGCTGAAAAATATACGATGGCATATTGTCAGTGGCGGATTATCCCTAGGCAAACTAGGTACGTGCCTAGGGACGCTAGGTTAAAAAGAGGTTTTACAACGAAAACAAATTGTCTATTTGTTTTGTGGTTGTGGCAAGGAAAAGGGGAGATCTCCCGCCGGGAAAGGTGTTCTGTCCGGGGGGCGGCCAATGCTCCGGTGGTAGTTCGGAGCTATTCTATATATACTGATTTTACTTCGGAACTTTGATAGCGCGATTTAGGCTTCGATGTATTTCCGCTTGTGGCGCAATGACAGCGCCGCCACATCACCCCCCTGCTCAGACCGGAGGTCTATAGTAAAGTCTAAATGTCGACGAATGTGCAAGTGCCAGGGAATTGCCTTGTAGTCTGCGGTGAGTCGAGAAGAAGGTAAGTAATTTGCGAGAGTGCCGTCAAGCAGAGGCGAGCTGTAAGTCTCGGAGCCATGCTGAACTCTGTAGCGCAGAGAGTAGCTTGAAGGAACAGGAAGCATTATTATTCCAGTGCTGCGATGAACCTTTGTAAAGCTAGATGGCTTGCACAATGTGAAGACTGCAGACAATATCTGCTCGGGAGCGAATGAATGGGGTACTTGAGGACGATGACGAAGGTTTGAAAGTTGTGGTTTCCGAAGGTTGTTGGTTGCGTGTTTATATCACTTCGGGGTCACCACTGTGGCAGTGGGAAGGAAAAGGGGAGATCTCCCGCCGGGCAAGGTGTTCTGCCCGGGGAGCGGCCGATGCTCCGGTGGTAGTTCGGAACTATTCTATACTAGCTGTGCCCGCGGCGTAGCTCGCGTATATAGGTTTTACATAAAGAATTTGTCGTTTAGGTAAGAGAATATTAAACGATTTATATCATTACTGTATCAATAAGTGGTAACAAAATAAATCATTATCATCAAAGTTCTAAGTCGTTTATGATAGAGCTTCTGTGTAAAAAACGTTAGAAGTAGGCTTAGGCGGGGTGTACACAAAAAGGTTACGAGGGCTACTAACGCGGGAAAAAGAACATAGTGTTGGCCATGTGCAAAACAGTCTGTACTGAGGTGCAGAGTGTGGTGCACTCCTACAACGCGTAAAGTTTGACCTTGCGCTTTATTCACGGTCATCGCATAACACACGCTGACTGTGACTGGGAACTGAACGCGCTTAAAACTGAAAGGAAAGGTATTTCTTAATAGAGGGATTTTGGGCAGTGCTGCCAGATCTAAATACTCATTAAGTGCTAGGACAACACAAAAAGCGCTAGCTTTCATGGAAACAGCGCTTTAGAAAGCCCTATAGAAAAGCCCTAGATTTCGCGCTAAATTAACTACAAACAAAGTTTGTGTTCTTTATTATAATTTATAATTCAAGAAAATATAATCATAATAGAATAGAATAGAATAGAATAGAATAGAAAAAACATTTATTCAGCACAGGCAGTTCATACACATGAAAGTAAAAGCACATAAAAAAAGGTCGCATTGTGCCGAAAAGGGGTTGGCTCAGCATGTGTTGTGTGAGTATGGCCTCACACAGCGCTGATTTTCAGCCAAGAAACCTATACATTGGCGTCACGAACGTAGCACAGCTGTTACGTGTAGTTTAGTCCTTCGATAAAACGAAAAAAGCCTAAACCTTCTATATAATTATAACACAAAATTTAAAATAAAGCAAAAAGCAGCAAAAAAAAAGTACAATATAAGACATTAAATATAACCTTATACATAATTGTGTGTGGTAACAACAACTATCAATTATCAATTAAAATGGATTAGTAATAATAATAATAAACAAAAATGAGAAAAATATACAGACAATTTTGTTAATAACCGTACAATGCGTTATAGGAAGGAGCTTTCTCGGTTGATATTGCCATGTTGTATTTGTGCATCAATAAGAAATTTTTTTAGCTTGATTTTGAACTGGTGGAGATTTTTTAAACTCCTGATTGGAGGTGGAATATTATTCCAACATTTTGTAGCCGCATATCTAAAACTACCCCTGAAAGCTGCTGTTCTGTGACGCTGCACAGATAATTGTTGAGAACACAGTCTGTTGTTACCTTGACTGTTTCGCGCGACCATAGCTAGTTTGTCGTGTAAGTATGGTGGATTTTTATACTTCACGACACCAAAGAGAAGGCATGCCAGGTGGAGTTTGCGTCTAGATTTCATCTTCAATACGTAATGTTTATTAAGAAACGGTGTTAAATGACTTCGCGTAGGAATTTTATAACAAAACAACATTAACCTTTAAGTATGGACGTCATTTTTTGTTTAAACTACTCTGGACGTGGAGTTTCACAGGCTCCTAGTATTCACACGCACGATTTGTATAAAAATAATATAATAAATCGGTTCAAAATTATATCATTATAAAGATTATAGTATCTTCTAATAAAATAACGTAAATATTTAATGAACTTTTATTACAAAAATTATGAATAAATGAAAAATCTAGCATTATAACACATTTTGTTTAAATTTGCTAAGGTTTTACATTGAACACTTTTTTAACATGTTAACATAATATCATAACAAAATAACTCTTATTATCTTAAATTACATAAAATTATTAACTATGAAACATAACATTCACGTCTGGTTAGAAATATAAAAAAAAATGGCAACAGTTGAATAGTGTGAATTTATTGGCAGTCAACGCACAAAGGACGGGAACATTGGAGGCATACAGGTTTGCTGCACTCAATATAAATGTAGGTAGTCATTCTATGATTTTTTGGAGGACAAATTCTACTTGCTCTTCTCGTTCCTGGGTTCACTGTTTGATCCTGGTTATCTACTGTAACCATATCCTTACCTAAAACTCGTGTCATGGTTAACCTCAGCTCTCTTGGCAATTTCGTATTGATAACACGCCTTTGCATATGAGTCACTACAAGTGAACGAGCTAGTTTACTACTAGTTTGCTACTTTTGAGGAAATCTCCTCTTTCAACATCCTTTGATTGGTGTAGGTTATACAAAATGTATGCATTCATGGCACTCAAATCTAGGACACGATATAATAATACCATAGGCCATCTTCTAGTGCCACGGCTACATGAATAAATTGAACATTTCTTGTACGTTTCATCGACACCCCCATTGGTGGAATTATAAAACAAAATAATTTCAGGTTTTTGAGTGCTTTTATCAACCAGATCGCTATGATGCATAGAAGATACAAGTATTACAGCTCTGTTCTTCTTTGGTACATAGGAACATAATGTTATTTTGTTCGTAAATCCAAATAAGGTCGATTGTACTTCGCGATTCTTATTTGTTTGAAATTGTGTGGGTATTTCTTTTTTATTCTTTTTTACTGTTCCCACATATGTTAGCTTTCTTTCTGATAATTCATCAACGAGCTGTATAGATGAAAACCAATTGTCAGCCGTTACGTTTTGGTTGCTTCCATGGATAGGTTTTGTGAGACGTTACACACACTGAGTTAGAACCAAGAATTTTTTCACTTCTGTGGTCAATCCGATGCTATCGGAGTCTTTTCCAGAATAAACATACCCGTTATATAAATAATAGTTGTTGGCGTCACATAAAACTCGTATTATCAGGCCATATTTACCAGGCTTTTTCGGCATATATGATATCATGTGACTCCTTCCCCGAAATTTGACGAGCATTTCATCCACAGTAACACATTCGCTCAATTCATATAGTTGTTGAGAATTACTTACAAAGTTGTTGAAAATTGGCGATATAGCAGCTAGTTTATCAGTCTTTATCCTTTCATTGCGATCATAAGGATTATCGAATCGAAGACATAAGAGCAAGATTAGGAATCTTGTTTCTGACATTGCGCATCTAAATATTTCACAACCTGTGCCATCTGAAGCGAAAAAATAACGTGAGTTTTCCTTGTTTGATTTCAAAACAGCTGAGTAAAATAGTAGTCCGATAAAAGCTTTCAGTTCAACCAAGTACAAGTTATTCAATTCAGGTCTGTCCTGACGAGCAAACTTCATTTTGTATGTAGAAATCTTAACATTTGTACAAATCAAAATTTGTTGGAGCATTTCTTCATCAAATATCTTATTCCAGATGCTGTAGTGGTCTTTCTCATCGTTTGCTGTCAACTTAGAATAACCTACACGAGATGATATAATATTATGTTGTGGTGTACGTACTCTAACAAAAGGTGACGTCTTTGCCCATTTGTATTTATTTTTCCCATAGAAATAGTTAGATCTTAGTAAATCCGAAAGAGGAGCGTTGTCTGAGCTATCACTGTCAGATTCATCTTCGGTGACTTCCTGGTCCTGGATCATATCTTGGCAATGCATCTGATCTTCATCTTCATCACTATCATGGTAACGCATCAACTCCGACGCAGACATCAAAAAAGCTTCGATTGCTTCTTCATTATCAGAGTGTCTGAAGCTAACAAATTATTTACTTCCTCCTCAAAAGATGGGTCCATTACTTTCAATATATTGTTTGCAGGGGCCTGTTGAAGATTTCTGGAATTAGTTTTGTCTATAAGAATAATGCGCTTCACTATTTTCTGCCATTTTGAACTACAAAACCTAAAATAAACGAAATTACTCTCATAAAATGTATTGTATGGTAACAATGGACGTGTAGCCTCACAGGCTCCGGTCCATATTTCGATGAATATTATTGACGTACTAAGCAAGGAAAGACGCGGTCTTCTCCTTCGACAGTCGTTTCGTAACTAAAACTATAGCTACTGAGCCACTTAGTTGCGGGGAACGGGGGGAAGTGTGTGAAACAACGAGAACTAAAACTATGCGGAGTCTGTGAGACTCTACGTCCATACTTAAAGGTTAAGTTTTTTTCTGGCAATATTTTTTTGAATTATCAAACATCAATACTTCGCAGGAGATCGACTTAATATAATTATAGCTATTGCTGTCAACAGTAGTTAGTACTGTACGAACAATTAAAATGTCATTAATTGTTTTAAAGTGCAATGTATTTCGCAACTTAGTTTTAGATGTCAGCATTTGATTGCGGTTGCTACACAATTTCTTTGTGTTGTAACTTCTAAGTAACTTTTAACTTATCTGTGCTCTAAACAACTGACTGAAACTGAATAAAGCAAAATAAAGGCGTTGCCAAAACCATGAACGAAAACTTCAAAAAAAGGGGATTTCCCCGCTTATAGTCGTCGCAAAAAAAATCAAGTTGATCATCCTAAAGGGGGAGCCGAGAGATCCATAGCATAGGTTATCCTAGTTTGGACTCGTCTCCCATGCTCTTTGTTTTGTGAAAAAAATATGTTTGAAAAAGATAAACTGCAATGTACTATTTGTGGGAAGAAATAATAAAGGTCATTATTATTATTATCGGTAATGTGGACTAACAGTGCTGCTATAAGAGTTAAATAACCCTCTAGTCACTACAATTTTGAAATGTGTGCTAAATACACAAAACAGGATTACGCGCTAGGTGCTAAAATTTTGAAATGCGCCCTATAGCCCTATACATTCCAAAAAAGCGCTAGATCTAGTTCACAAAGCGCTAAAATGGCAGCACTGATTTTGCGTATATTAAATATCACGACATTTTGTTGCAATTTTATTACTTTTGGTCGGGTTCCGTTGTATGGTTTCGGTAGATACAAATTTCTTCAGTAAGTCTCAATACGATTCACCGGCGGAGAATCTCAACACCGCAATTCGGAAAAGATTGTAATTTGTACAACTCCATCTATTAGGTCCTTTGTGTGAGAAAACATCCTTTTTTAATCTCTTTTTGTGTTTTAAGTATAAATATATTAATTATTATGGAACGTTTTTTTACACACAAATCTTTTTATTACTATTTCTGAAATTTTATGGCGCCATTGAACAAATTCTAACCTACATTTCAAAATAATAATCATTACTTTAGATAGAATTAACCAATTTTAATAAAACAAAGATTAAATGTAACTAGAAGATACGCTTTATGATTTTCTTAATGACTACTTTGCAAAAAAAAAAAGATGTTTACTTTTGACGTGATGCGGTAATAAAAAAACAGACAAACAGACAGACAGACAATTCTAAAAATTATAAAAATGTACTTATTTCATTATTTTCAATTCCCCATAATGATTTTAGCCACAAAAATATTCTATACAATGTACAGAAATAGACATAACATGTTATCATCATTTTTATTACATGTATAGATTATTTTAAGAGAGATGGCGCTGCTAACATCAATTCTAAAAATAAAAGAGATTATTTTATTATTAGAAAGGTAGGTAGGTGTAGTGCATGTAAGTGGTGTTTAGTGGTAGTGTGTAGCAATTTATGTGACCTGGCCCAGCTGAGGTGACCGGGCAGCGGCCTGGTCCCATGCTGCTCCCCGATGCTGCATCATTCTAGCAGGCGTCACCAAGTGACCACTTCTTTCTTCATGTCACTATTTTAGTCTATCAACTTTATTGTACATTTAACTAACTTCAACTCTAACTAATTCAACGTTTATCGTAAAATCAAACACGTGATACCCGACACAAGTAACGAACCAACACACGAGTTCAACCAACAACTAAATTCCATCGTACTATATTAAATACTACGCCGCAATAAGAATTCAAAATCAACCTAGCTGACACGCAAAGTAACTAAAGAGTCAACACACAAAAGGCTCTTAACGAGACGGTACAATTGCAATGAAATTACTCTAATCACTTAAATTCAAAATAAGCCTCTTGTCACGAACGTACAACTTAGACAAACTAAACCGAGGCGGTCTTCACGAAACCACAATTCAGTAGAGAAGTAACGCGTACAAATACTAAAAATCTAGACCATAAACCCAAAAAACTGGCCGCGCGAAATATATGCAACGGTCACTAAAATACGCTAATTGAACGCACCGCTGCTCTAAAGCTACTGTCTTCGCCCACGAGCGCCAAACGCGGGGAAGCTGCATACCGATGCCCTCTCCCCGCGACGCGCGTGACACCTAACACAATCGGGCGATTCGCTAAGTCGAAGGCGATTAGATGCCGTCTCAAATGACCATATTTGGCCTAAACATAGTGTGTATAAGACAATTTGCATGATGCTAGTGTGCGTGAAAAATTGTATATGCCAGCAGCTTAACTATTACCCGATTAACGGGAAAATTTATTTTATGCTATGGCTTAGTAGTTAAGTTCATAGTTATGAACGTATTCCAGAAATACATAAAAATGAATAGTTTATTAATAACGAATGTATATATTATCAATATATTTGTATATATTATGTATAGGTTTTTCTTCTGAATAAATGACATATAAATGATAAGGCCTCCTTTTTATCAGTTTAATTTTTTTATTTACATGTCTAACCAATATTGTTAATATTTTTTATTTTGTAATTATTTAAAAAATAGTTATATATATGGTGTAATCAAAATAGTGCTTTCTATTCTACGCGTCAATATGAACAACTTTTACTATAGATCTATCTTTCAAATCGCAAGAAAAGTCAGGACTTCCATACATTTTGAGCAAGTTGGTACGAAATTTTGTATGAAATAACTGACTTTGAGATATTTTTTATAGGGTCAGGGTGACAAACGAGCACTCAGTCCACCTGATAGTAAGTGGTTGCTGTGGCCCATAGACATATACATCTATCCTCGGTTAAGAATCAAAATGCAGATGCGTTGCAATCCCAGAGGACTAAGATGGGATGCCTCGTTTCCAGTAAAAAGGGTCTCCGGTTCTCTACACTCACCATAGGAAACACACTATTTTACACTGGTATTTTGTGAGAGCGTGGTCCTTCCCTGGTCGAGCTGACCCATTCGTGCTACAACTATACCAGTAATATAGCTGCAGTATGGGTCTATCACGTATAAATTGAAAATTTCGAAGATGATCCCATAGTAAAAAATATTCATGTTGACGGGCAGAATCATTCCCTAAGTTATTAAGTACTATTTTGTTACACCTTTAGTTAGTATATAAGACCGGGGGAAAAAGTTTCTTCGTATATTGTATACAAATTCAAGACGCTTTTGTTTTAAAGTTTTACTACATTTAATTATAATATATATGGGTCCATACAAATATACAAATTACAAAATAGACAAATAACGCTGGTATATTATAAGATTATCCGAAGTCCGAAGAGAGGGGGAGGACACGGTAATCCTCGAATCCGGCAACTTCCTCTATCACCGGGAGGGCGACCATCTGTCCCAAGGAGGTGTCGGATTTATCGTCCACAAGTCTCTCGTTAACAACGTTGTAAAGATTGAGAGTGTGTCGACGAGGGTTGCATACCTTATACTCAGAATCACCAAACGGTATTCGCTGAAGGTCATAAAGGTTTACGCACCAACCTCGGCACACCCCCAATGAGGAGGTGGAGGAAATGTATGAGGATATCTCTAGAGCCATGCATTCCTCCAAAATCCAATATACGGTGTTAATGGGAGACTTCAATGCAAAACTAGGCACAAGAGAGAACGGTGAGCTGAAAGTAGGGAAATTTTGAATAGGGCAACGGAACCCAAGGGGCCAGCAGCTGGCCGACTTCATGGAGAAAGAGGGACTCTTTATGATGAACTCTTTCTTCCAGAAGCGGCCCCACAAGAAGTGAACCTGGTCGAGCCCCGACGGTTCGACAAAAAATGAGATTGACTTCATTATGACGACCTGACGACAACTGTTCAGTGATGTCTCCGTGATCGCGAGGGTGAAAACTGGTAGCGATCACCGAATGGTTAGAGGCACACTGAACCTAAGCATAAAGTTGGAGAGGTCTCGTCTAATGAAATCAACGCTCCGTCCCCCTCGTGCTCTGTTCCAAAATCCCGAAACATTTCAGCTCGAGTTACAAAACCGTTTTCAGTGCCTAGAAGACTGCAATAGTGGACTATATGAATGACAAGCTCGTGGAAACTGACCATGCGGTCGGAGTTAAGTTCTGCAAGACCCGCCGCAGAAGAACACAAAAACTCTCCGAACACACTCTCAATCTCATGGCTGTTAGACGGGAGATGAAGCTACATTCTTCAACAGATTTGACAACATACAGGCAACTGAATAGACAGATCTCCAAATGCATGCGGCGGGACTTACGCAACTTCAATACAGCTTGTATTGAAGAAGCGATCGAGCGGAACCAAGGCTCCAAAGTCTTTGCCAGAGATCTGTCTGCCAGAAAGAGCCAACTGTCAAAGCTGAAGATCGAGTGTGGCAGCATCGTTTCCGGGGCACCTGAGATTTTGAGTGAGATTGAGAGGTTCTATGGGCAGCTGTACACGTCATCGTTGGAGCCACACGCAAGTGTGAGTAACGATCCAAGAGCGAGTCTTATCCGACACTATTCCGAAGATATCCCGGACGTCAGTCTGAGCGAGATTAGAATGGCTCTCCAGC